GGGGGGGCTAGTTTAATCTTGCCTAGGGCAGCCCCAACCCAGAATGCACCACTGGGTGAAGGGAAGACAGCTACAGAGAGGCCAAGGAGGAGAAGAATCAGTACGGCTGTCTACCTTTCACTCCGGCCACCTGCAGCTTCCTCCGCCCACCTCATCTGCCATGGGCTGGAGGAAGACTTCAGCTGCTATTGGCTGGCTCATAGGTTTTGCAGCGCGGGACCTGAAGGGAGGCTTCAGCTGTGAACATGGAGGATTCATCTCTTTATCTCCCCACCTCACCACCAGGTAAAGAGCATCTAAATCAGGAGAGGAAGAGGAAAAGGGCAGGAGAGGAAGAGGGCACCTAAATCAGATCAGCTATGTGCACTGTAAGTCCCTGTTCTTTCTGCCTTACACTGCTGACCTCTGTACTTTACATTAGTGACCTCTGTACTGCTGACCTCTGCACTGTGCGTTACATTAGTGACCTCTGTACTGCACTGTGCGTTACGTTACTGACCCCTGTACTGTGCTCCACATTACTGACCTCTGTACTGCACTGTGCGTTACATTACTGACCTCTGCACTGTGGGTTACATTACTGACCTCTGTATTGTGCGTTACATTACTGACCTCTGTACTCGGCATTACACCACTGAACTCTGCACTCAGTGTTGTTACTGATCTCTGTACTTTGCGTCACACTGCTGAGCTGGCGGAAGTACGGCCGGGGCAGGGTAGGGGTTAGGTGGGGCAACTTGTGGCGATTAACTCCTAAGGCCTGGCTAGTAGCTCAGGTCCTGATATTTTGAGCCCTGTATGTATGTATGTGTGTGTGTGTGTATATATATATATATAAGGTGTGGCAGTGCTGGTAGAGGGCCCAGGGACCATCAACATTTTCTCAGGGACCACCAGTTGGTGACTGCTGCCTTAGAGTGTATTTCCATGTTGCAGCCAAACTGGGATAACACCTACTTTATAGTTCTAACATGTTCCCATTCACATTGCATAACTTATAAAAAAAAATATGCTCAAAGGCCTGCCAAGGAAACATCTAAAAAGTAAGATTTAAAAAAAAAAAGATTTTGGGGAACCTGTATGAATAGGAACACATGGTGGGGTAAAATGATTGCAAAAAGTGGAACTACACTCAGAGAGATACCACATCTGCAGGTTCAAATCCACTTAAACTGAACTCTGACGATCAGGGAGACGTATCAACTTTGTATTAGCTTTAACAGAACTATCTGCACTGCCTCTGGAACAAGCAATAAGCTCTTTCTTTTCTAGCATTACCCTGCCATGAATAAATGACAGCCAGAATCTGATTGGTTGCAGGGGTAAAACGTTTATGTGACACTTCCGCTTAGGAGACCTGTGATCATATGTGATTGGGAGTTTATCCAGATCTACAGCCCATTAATAGAAATTGTTATGTGCTTCTTATTCCGGGTCATCTCAGGAATTCTATTACCAGTGTGTGTCTATTTACACGCGAACATCTCCAGTTTCTATTCAGCAGCCTTTCCTATTGTTATGTCTTTGTAAGTATCAAACTCCAACTCACCCTCAACTCGGACAGCAGCTGCAGTGCTCTCCTCTGTCTTTGACAGGTCCCCACAACACAAGCGTTCTATACACTAGAGGCCTGGCAATGCTCTCAGCAGCCGCCATTTTTCTGGAGACCTAGGCCGTGTCAAATGCAGGGAGAAATGGCGCAGTAATGGTGACAGAAAGGGCACGTATCTATTTACCAGAATAAATAACCCGCTGGTATAGTGTTCTTTGTGCGAGCACCAGCTACGCGGGCACAAGTTACTAATGAAAGCAGTGTCCGTAAATATTTCCATAACTATCGTGACTTATCATAAAACGACGATGCAGGTATCTTTCAGTCTCCAGCTTGTTTACATTGTTTTCCATGATCAATCATGGCGGACGAGGATCTTTGGCAAGTCATGGTGAGCAGCCAATGAAAAGTCCCAGACGGGGTCACGGGTTCTCAATTCCGGACGTGCGGTTCTGAGAACGCAGAGAGAATAGTCGGAGTCTCCGGTACCTGGCTGTTGTTGTGATTCTTCCTCCGTTCCTTCCCCGACCGTGTCTGGCCAAACATATGAGTGTTTCACTGGTTGTCGTTCGGCTGGAGCTTGCGGATCAGTCTCCTTCTCCTGTTGGCTTCCAATACCGCGCTGGTGAGACGGGGCTGCGCCCAATAAGCTGGGGGTTTGGGGGGCATATTGAAGCTGAACTCTGGCCACAAAAACCTTCATTCAAATATATCTGGCTCAATAGCCACAGAGGTTATAAATTCAATGTGTGTGTGCCGAATACCTTTACTAACCCAGATGTTACTTTCTAAAAGTAGCAGTGACATCACCACTGTGCTCTGCATAGCTCCTAGAGAAAGCGGAGCTGTGGGAGCTACCCAGCAGGCCCCACCCACTAGGGGATACCTACATGAGGGGGGGATACAAGACCAGTCACCCTGCACAACAGCAGTGACTGGTCTGTATTACAGGAAGCTCCTGCACAAAGGCAACATTTACACTGGATTACTGCACAGATCTGGAAGAAATACACAAAGCACTACAGTGGAGTTCAGCTTTAATACAGGAAGATACATGCATACCTGTCATGTATGGTAGATTTCTTGTTCTCATTATTAGTGATGAGTGGGAGCTTGGAGCCAATGTTTACCCAAACCCATGCAAAACTATAACTGACACCCTCCCTTCTGGTCCAGTCAGTTGTGGTAGGTGTATTCCCTTGTCACAAATGGGCCGGGAATGCACCAGCCACAAATAATTGTCAGTGACAGTTTTGCGCAGACTTGGGCAAATTCAGGCTCTAGGCCTGAGCACCATCACATGACCAGGGGAGTGACATCACTGCTTCCTGGGTCACCGACACACCAGATCTCAGCGCTGGCTGCAGAGGAGTAACGATCTGTGAGGGACAGTTTTAGGGCTTGTTTACAAGACGTCCGGATTGTGTCCGGACCAGAACCATGTGCTCCTGCACACAAAATTCATCCCAATGTATCCCTATGTGTTTTATGGGCTACAGTTCTCACGTGCGCAGTCTGTTCCGCTCCGGACAGAGAAAATGCTGCATGTCACATTCTGTCTGGTCTGGAAACGCACAAACACGTCAAACGCAACGAAAATGCACCGCACTGCAGCTAACATACTGACAGCCCCACTCCAACCCAAAAAAAAAAATTTTTTTTAACTGGAACGCGTCAAAAACACATAGCACCGCGTCTGCAGATCTGCTCCAGATCCGGACCAGATCTAGTCCGGACATCGTGTGAACAAGCCCTAAGACAGGATTCATATGGCCCCCTGTACGTTGCAGCATGCATAGTGTGCACATGTGTAGGTGTGAATAGACCCATATAGTTTCCCTTGCACACTAATCTGCTAAACTGTGAACCAGCCCCTTAGGAAAGAATGGGATTTCTACTTGTAATGCAGGGGTAGGCATCCTGGGCCCTCCACTTTGTGGAACTACAAGTACCATGAGGCATTGTAAGACTGACAACCACAGGCATGACTCCCAGAGGCAGAAGCATGGTGGGATTTGTAGTTTCACCACAGCTGAAGTGTCAGAGTTTGCCTCCCCCTGTTGTAATGCATCTTTATGCAGCAACATGCATACGTTTTGATGCATGTGAATAGGCCTTTAGGGGCTCTGGAAATGCCTTTTCTAGAGACATTGTCGCCTTTCCCTCCATGGGCAAGGTGGCAGTATGCCTTTTACCGTGCAGATGGAGGATTTGGGTGAGTACTCAGTACTGGAGTATTTGGGCGAGCACTAATCGGAAAGCTGGGTGCCGCGTCATTACACGGCGCTCAGCTTCCTGATTGGCCAGCTTCCCGGCCAATCCGGAAGCAGGGCAGCGAGTCATTACACGCTGCCGGCTTCCTGATTGGCCGGGAAGCCGACTCCATGCTCCCTCGTCGTTTTGCAGGCTTGATGTGATGCAATCTAGATTTGTCAAGACTACATATCCCATCACGCATTGCTTCCTGGATTCCCAGTATGCTTTGTGTCTCTTTCTCTGCTGCTTGATGTGATGCAATCTCGATTTCTCAAGACTACATATCCCATCATGCTTTGTTTCCAGCATGCAATGATAATGTCACATTGCTCAGATGTTGAGTTGTCATTCAGAAGTACAGGCTCTGAAAGTTGTGACACAAGGAAGCGCATTTTCATTGAGCTGAGTGAAAAAGTGTCAGTGCACATCCTATGGACATCTTCAATAAGTAAGTTTACAAACTTCCTATACACTGTATAGAATGTGATGACTCCAGGATCCTTAGACCGCTGGAGTGGGGGTGGAAGGACTGGTCTAGCAGCCAGGTGGAGCTAAGGTTCGGGTGAGTATAACTTTTTGTTATTTTATACCCCAGACAAAAACAAGCACTTAGCCCTTCCAGTGCGGGGGTTAGGAATATGTATTCCCGGAGTTCTTCTTTAACCCCTTCACGACTGACGACGTACAGTGTACGTCGCCAGCATCGGGGCTGTTTAAACAGACTCCCGACAACTTTTGCAAAAGCCGACAGTCGGCTTTACAATAGGAGCGATTTCTGGCGACTCAGCTGTCACCAGATCGCTTCTACAGTCTCGTGAAGGGGCCACCCCCGCCCGGCACACCCAGGCTCCGTTGCCCCTCCTACGGGCCCGGGACCGGCTTCTCTGGTGTCGGCGGGAAGCTGGGGAGGAGATGGATGAACCTCCGTTCGTCGATTCCCCCTCCCCGTTCTATGGGACCGGGAGCGATGCAGGTTGCAGCATTCCGGTCCCTGGGCTGTCAGTTCTGGGCTCCTGAAGCCCAGCTATAAGCTATTGATGTGCAATCTGCACTTCAATAGCTTATTTCCAGTGTAAAGGTGACACTGGGAGACTTTCGGACCCCCAGCATCACCTTAAAGAGTACCTGTCACCACCATCTATCGCATGGGGGGCATGTAAGCCCCCCCATGTGATAGCAGTCAAGGTTAAAAAAAAACAAAACAGTTTTTAAAATTAAATAAAATAAATCAAATTTTTTTGAAAGTCCCCCGCGAGCACACGCGTCGCCATGTAAACACGCGTCGGGTGCACCTTCGTATGAAATTGACGAACGCGCTACACATGCTGGGTATCGCCGCGCACACCAGAGTGAGAGCAATAATTCTAGGGCCAGTATTTTTAGGTATCTCTAAACTGATGACCTGTGGGGGCTTTTTTAAAGCGTCTATGGACTTTTTGGGGTACTGAATTTTGTCGCAGTTTCACGGACGCACACAATTTTTAACCTGGGCATGTTGGGTATCTATTTACTCGTTGTAACCTCATCTTTTATATTTTATGAAAAAAATGGGTATTTTATTGTGTTTCGGGGCATTTAAGTACATCTTTCAAAAAATGTTGGGGTTTGATAAGGAGTTGTGCTAATATCGTGCAACATAAAAATTTTCAACTGCCACCATTTTATGCTTGGGGGTTTTAAGTAATTTTTAGGCCTAAAATGTGGAATATAACATGGGTGCAAAAAAATGAAAAAAAGGCCTCAGTCATGAAGGGGTTAAGGATTGAAGGAAAGCTCATGCAGGCTTCTTTGCTACTTCAGCATGTGTGTTCATGGTGCACTTGTTTGCTAAGTTGCTATAGTGAGTGAGTGAGGTATTGTTACTGTAGTACACAACAATGAAACCAGCATATATCTGTGGAGTACATTTTGGTTATTCTACCGGGACCTGCCATGATGGACTTCTCAGTCAGACAACGGAAGGATAAGATGCATGTACGATAAAAGCTTTCTGTCCTCTTCTTCACAGGAAGGAAGCCATTCTCATCTGCAAATTGTTCATTGTGGCGGCTCATCTCCTCAGCGATCACCATCTCTTCTAATAGTCAGGGGCGTTCATTGCCTCACTACTGCACAATCTGATTGTGACACCTAAAACCTTGATTTATTTTGTTTCAGAGTGGGTATGGGATAAACCTCCTGTTCTGATTTTAGTTCTGGTCTGTGACCTAGAGAGATGTCCCCATAGAAAGTGATGTGACATTTCCCCAATGGGGACAGACTGCAACTAGAATGGCAAATAAATTTCATCATCTGCGTACCTTTTGCTTTCAGAATAATGTTCCAGTCAGGTTCTGGTAGTGAAATCAGTAAAAAGAGATTGGAAGCTGTCACCATACACTATTATTAAATAAACATTAATCCAATATATGTTCCCATTAACTCTAATGAACTTGCTTGTATCCCCTTTTTAATATTGGCCATGTATGGGCGAGATCGCTCAGTAGATCAACATACAATCTTTTTATCACTATTAAAGTGACATTTTAAAGGATTTTTTTCCCCTCCCCCCAATGTTAGTGTAAGGACTTACCTTAAATCATGCCTCTTAATCCGACCATCTTCTTCCTTACTGTCATTTTCATCAATCCCTCCAGCGCTGGGTGCGGGTCTCCGATCCAGCGCTGACTCCTCTGTCCTCCTCTGATGTCCCACGGAGTCTGTGTGGATGCACGCTGCTCCATAGACTTACCTTGTGTCTCTCCTCGTCTCCCGGCCGAACATCTGAACTGCGCATGCGCCCGCCCCAAGATCCTTTGCGGCCGCCCGAGACTCTTCGGATGTTCGGACGGGAGCGCGCGGCGAAGACACGGATTTTTAAATAGTTATTGCTTATATCTACTGCTCGCTAGCAGTACATATATGCAAAAAATACGCTGAGGGTTTATTAACTCTTTAATAATATCATGAAATGGCTACTACAGAATATTGTTAAGTAGTCACTTTGTCCCCATTGCTGGAAATATTTTTCCCGAAGGAGAGGGGGGGTACAAAATTTGTTTGTTTTACAGGGGTGTGGAAAATGTAAAAAAAAACGGCTTGTCCTAGGACTAAAGCGGGGCCCGATTTACTTGTCCCTCATGACGATCTACTTGTCCTGATACAAAAAAATAATTTGAACCAAAACCGTATTTAAAAACACAGTCAATAAGTACATTTATGAACCATGTTTTCTCACTGCAGGTAGCGATTTTTACTGCTGCCGAACAATAGCAATCTGCTAGTTATCGCTGATGCACTATAACACTAATCATTTATACACTGTACAGTTAAGGTGGCCACACGCTGGTAGATTTTCATATGAACATTCATGTCAGAACATTCAATAATGTCATCGCAGACTTGATACATTTCATTTGAACTCTCAATTGATTTTAACATTCGATTTTGAAATAAATGGAGTACCCCCCAAAAAAAAAAACAACAAACAAACACATTCACTGTTAAAATTTTGTTCATTCAAAAATTATTTTCCATCCGGTGCCTTTTAACTTTTTTGACTGTAGTAATGAAACAAAAAAATTGCTCAATTTCACCCCATTGCCTATTAGAAAATCGCACGAGGAATCCCAGGAGACGAGAAGTCAATGCACCCAGAATACATTGATTTGCTTCTGCTTTGTGCAGTGATTTGCCCAGCTCTGTTCTAGTGATATTCCAACTTCATATTTTGCAAATACTTGCTTTTGCTTATATTTGCAATAGAACAAGTTATTAGGGTCACAGTACTGCCATTTTTTTAATCAGTATAATGGAATTTTTTTACAGTATTTGGGCCTTACAATGGAAATCGCTGAGGAAGAAAAACTCCGGGAATTTAAAAAAATGACCTTTGCAGTGGGACAACCCCTGCACTGCAAGGGGGTAACTGCTCTTTTTGTCCCGAGGGCTCAAATAAGGCAGATTTACTATCCTGATCCTCTATTCCATCTGGCTAGTTGACTGGTTCCTGCAGCCACTTCTCCAGGGACGTGCAGTCGGGATTCAGGTGAGGCAGAGCCTCACCTAGCATATGGAGGAAAAAGCTGTCCGCTTCAAGTGTGAAGCTGACAGCTTTTTCTCTATTCAGAGCGACTTGTAACAGGTTACACAGCAAGGAAAGCCTCCACGCTGTATAACCTGTCATGGACGGAGCGCTGCCTGTTAATTACAGGCGGCGCTGCATCCGGCTTTTGGCAACTAAGTTAGGTTACACAGCAGCAGGCTTCCCCACTTCTTGTGTAACCTAACTTGGTGAGACGAGAGCTGTCACAGCCTCTACTCTGTGTTAGAGGCATGAGCTCTGTGGATGGCTTGGACCAATGACAAAGTGCCATTGGTCCAAGCTGTCCAATAAAAAATAAAAAAAACACTGAGGACATCGATCTCGATGCCTCAGCAGTGACAAGCAAGTGAGGGACAGGGAGGCACCTCCCTGTCTCCTCCCTCCCTCATCCACACATAGCTTGGTGACTGGGTTGGGGGCAGAGCAGGATGGGGGCGTTGACGGGATGGGCTGGGGCGGGCATGGGGAATGCCTCACCCAGGATGAAAGGTACCACATGTCACTGCTCTTCTCCACCTGGGCTCTGGCGGTCTAAAGACCACTGATGTCATCACATCTAATGCAGCTTCATTGACTTGCATTGGACAAGAGACAAACCTGTGTAAATCATTACTTTACCTTCCTTTAGGTTTTTGAATGTGCCCCATTCTCACAAAAGTTGGATAATCTGCATAGAATCAATGTACACGCAGTTTACCGGGCATATAGCTATGCAATCTTCTTTTTATATAAATAGATCCCTTCTTGTTGTGCTGTAACAGAGAAAAATATAGCTGTGAGCATATGTAATATTTTTAAATGGATCACGTACTGTATTAGTGCTCTTGTTCCAGGTTGCAAGTGTATCTCCACACTAGTAAAGATCTGTGAAGAGTTCCTGAAGTGTTAGATAGGAGTATAAATGACATGATGCAACCTCTATCAGGGTTATTCACAAAAGGGTGAAGAGTTTGGAGGAAGCAGGAGAAGTGAACAATCTAGGACAACATAGCTGACCTGGAAAGTGAATAACCCTGTAGGTATAGATTGTATGTGGCTACCAGTGGTTGTCTTAGAAGATGTCATTGGTAATACATCTTACAGACGTTTCAGCATTCCATGCATTGGGGCAGAATATGTTTGCTGTACTGCAGATTGATTTTCTGGCAGTGAAGTAAATAGGCAATGCGGAGGAGGCTGTATTTAACAATAAATGGTAATGTGAAACTTATTCTACATTGTAATTTACTTTCACACTATCTATTGCCTTCTGTGCCTTTTTTTTTTCTTTAATTAAATGACTGGTTTGCTTTAATATGAAACTATATTTCCAAAAACAAAATGGTACATTTCAATCCTATCTAGGAAAGGAAGTTCCCTGACTCTAGGATAAAGTCCTGTAACTAATTTATATGCTGCTTCCTCCTCCTATATTGAAGGCATACAGAGGGCATAGCACCTATGCAAGTGTCTGAATATTAAAGAGAAGTATTGCATAAGTAAAATGTACACTTCCCAACAGTTTGAGCCGGCGTTTGACAATGTGGCTTTCACACGCCGGCTCCATAGCTTGAGAACTGGGCGATCACAAACTGCTGATCACTCAGCTCACAAACTTCTTGTCCCTGCAGTGAGCGGTGACTGGCGGTTACCACCCTCTGCAGGGATTTCCCCCTCCTCTCTCTCTCTCTCCCTCCATCGCTCGCTGGAGGGACAGATGGGAAGGGCAGGCACAGTTGGCCTCTAGAGCACAATTTGTGGTTGATTAGCTTCAGTTGATGGCAAAGGTGATGTTAGGGAGCTAATAGACTCCTAATGACTCCTTAAAGAGTACCTGTCACTTCACACGTGCTAAAGTTAATTAAAAAAACAAAAAAATTAAACAAAATCCAATTTTAAAAATACATAAAATGAATGCATAAATGTGGGTGTCGGGTGTGCCTACATCTGATGATGATGAATGAACTGCACACACTGGGTATCGCCCCACATGCCGGAGTGAGAGCAATAATTCTAGGGACATCCGTCACTGTCAACTCTTAAGTTGATGACCTGTAAAGGGTTGCCTATGAACAGTTTTGGGTACCGTAGTTTGTTGCTGTTTCACAGGCATGTGGAGGTTTCAGGCTTGACATGTTTGCTATGTATTTATTCAACACAACCTTATCTTTTATATTTTACCATAAAATTCATTGATTTATTGTGTTTCTATGTTAGAAAAATAACTTTTAAAATGTTTTTATTTTTTTTTTTACGAAAATACTTGATAAAAGTTTGATAAAATGTTGCAATTTCATATAGCATAAAAAATTACAACTGCCACTGTTTTATTTACCTGGGTCTCTGATTACAGGAAATACAATTTTTTTTTTGAGGGGGTTAAGTAATCTTCAGGCCTAAAATGTGCATTTTAAGGCCTTGTTCACACCAAGCGCGTTCCAGGAGCAGAGCAGTTACAGACCGGAGCAAAACTGCGTTCAATGTATTCCAATGGTATTTTTAGCTCCAGTTTACATTGCAGTGTTCCGTTCCAGAGCAGGTAAAGAAACGGCAGCAGGCCCTATTTTACCTGTTCTGGAACGCATGCAAACGCATCAAAAACACATGCAAACGCACTGAAAGCCCATTTTAAATATATATTTAATTTTTTAACAAAAACGCGGCACAGCCCACTGCACTGCGTGTGCAGAAACTCGTGCAGATCTGCTCCGCATTTGGTGTGAACAAGGCCTAACGTGTACAAAAAATTAGGGCTGCAACCAACTGATCGATTATGAGAATAGTTGTCAACTATTTCATTATCGATTAGTTGGTTGGATCCCCTGGCTCTCTCTTTCAAGCTGGGAGGAGGGCACAGCAAGCAGTGGGAAGGGTGCAATAGCCAGCCTGCTATTGGCTATTGCACCAGCCCACTACCTTCTGTATTTACATTCAGCCATTTGTGGAATCTTGCCAATGGCAGCTGTCATTCCCTGGCTGAAGCTATTCAAGTGCCATGTACTTACAATACAATTAATTATTTTACATTTTTTTTAAATAAAAGATGGGAAAAAAGTTATTTTTGGTTTCGGCCTGACAAATTCTGCTGCGGGAGGTGCTTTGCAGTGCCATTCATTTCAATGGCACCCCAATCATGTCTTCCACCCAAAGGGTGATTGGCTGCACTGGAGCGCACTGTAGCGCAATGCCGGGCGTTCCAGTGCAGTGCGATTGCAAAAAATTGTGCATGCAGTTTTATTCTGAAGTAAACTTTGTAACACCGAATTTGTGTATTTTATTTTAAATTAAGGATGGGATTTATTATTTTTTTATCCAAGTTAATAAAAAAAAGAAATCGGCCAATTAATGGATTATGAAAATAATTCTTAGTTGCAGCCCTACAAAAAATGGACAACTCTGGCAGGGAAGGGTTAGGCCATGTCTCCTAGAACTATAGTTAGACATTGCTTTCACAGAAAAGTACAGGACCTTTAGCTTTGCATAAAATATGCAGCAGAACATAGTTTATCATCTAACATGACACTTCAAACATGCATTTTTTTTTTTAACTGTATACATGTAAAGGGGGCACATTTTAGAACCACATTACAGTAGCCAGCATTCTGATAAAATTCACTTAGCAAGGGGCTGCTTTATCCATTTTGCTCTTAGTTAAAATCCAACAATCTGACAAAACTGCTTCTTATGTCTTTTATAAATAAGTGATGACATTCACCGGGCAAGTAAGTAAGCATTGCAATGTCTTTGCCTTTTAAGTGGGGCAGGGTACTGTATTTCAGTCATACCAGCAGTGATTTATGATCAGCTGTGCTATCTATTAAGCGGAGTACAAAATCAAATTACTCTGTACTGCTTTGATGGGTTTTTTTCATATTAACAGGGAGGTTAGTCCATTGCTGCATTCTCTATTGTTTTCTGCCTTTCCTGCAAACCAACACATGAATATTTATGTTCCTGCCTAGCCACCGAGATGTCTGATGAAGAAATTAAAGAGAAGACGTTACATGGTGCTGCAGCTTACTTGGAAGGCAAGACGCCTGTAGAAAAGACATCGATTCTGCATCAGCACATTGGGCGAAGGGAAATGACTGACGTCATAATAGAAACCATAGGTCCAAATACAGGTGAACGTCGCCATGCAGACTTATACATATTTCCGTTTCACTAGAGTGAGAATACAATGCTAGCTCATTGGTTTTACTATAATACTATATAGATAGATAGATATAGATATTATTAGATGCTCCATGAAACAACCTCTGTCTCACCAGCAATTACTGACCTGTTCGTCCAGAAGCTGTGTACTGAAGAAGTTTATTTAGTATATGTCTAAGCAAAGTAAGAAAAAAATATATTTAGTTAATTTCTGCAATACATGAATATTTCCCCATGTTTGTCTTTTTAAAAACACTGCAAATATAGGGAAACAAATGACGAGGTACAAACTTTCTTTTTGAGCTGACAACTCTGTCTCTGTCAGTGCTTTGCAATCCAAATTGCTGTCAGCCCTGCTTGAGTTCTGCCTTCTTGAATACAGAACACTCTTATTTTATTATATTATAAAGTTGAAAAGGGTGGGGGGGGGGGTGTAGACCAGAAGGGGGAACTCATAGCCAGGGCTGTAAACACGTCTTGGGATTTCATTGCAGCAGAGGCAGATTTGGGAGTTTACAAGATTTCTGGCAGGATCAACAGGTATTTCTCTATTTTTGAAGAGGTAAAACATGGGAAATGTGCATGTGTTCCAGAGTTTTTTTTTCTTTTTTTTATTTGAAGTTTTGCCCAGTCATAAACTTTAATGAGAAATGTAAATGGCCATCAGATTTCTTTTTTTAGGAGTTATACTCCTGGATAGTTTGTCATTAGCCAATTAATTGTTCACTGCTTTGGGACACAAGTCAAAATGATCACTAAAAAATGTGGTCAGTGTCTACTCCACCTCACCTATCAAATACAAACTGGCAACAGTCACACTTTTACTACAATTTCGGTTGTCAGAATTAAACAATCTGATTGGTGACTGGGGTGATGCATCTTTTATTGCATTATTAAATAATAAATACATGATTAGATGATGGACTGGTTAGCGTTCTAGTCTTCTAGAATGCCTATGTGTGTACTGTACTATAATGTACTGAAATTCTTGAAACAGTTATTAATTGCTATTTGCATTATAAAAATGTTATTATTCTAGTCTAATTAATAACCATTAACAAAAATGTATCTTATTTGTGTATTACTCAGCTGTAGATCCTCAAATCATGTCTGAATTGGTACGGACACTGTCCTTCCTTCTGGAGGGTGACTACTTTTGTTCCCCATGGTCCCTGTGTGTGTTGTAAAGTAGCCACCGCAGCAAGCTCACTCCTGTGATGGACTACAATCTCAATACAAATTAGTAAACTAGACATGAGTAGTCCATCACAGGAGCGAGCTTGGAGCGATGGCTACTTTATAACACACACAGGGACCATGGGGCACAAAAGTAGCCACCCTCCAGAAGGAAGGACAGTGTCGGGACCAAGTCAGAGATGATTTAAGAAACTACTGCTGAGTGATACACAAATAAGATGCATTTTTATTGATAGTTAAGGTACTTGAATGTATTTTTGAGATTTAACTCCTGAGTTTAGTGTCACTATATTAATTAAAAATGTTCTAATTTCTACTTGTGTTTAGATGCAGCAAAGGGCTCAGATCCGGAGAATTTAGAAGATCCATCCACAATTGCTAACAAAACTGCTCCCGATTCACCCTCAAAACAGCTGCCTGAGCAGATCACTTTCTTCAGCGGGAACCCCTCAGTAGAAATAGTCCATGGGATTATGCATCTCTACAAAACAAAGTAAGCACCACAATAGTACATTTATCCTGAATTAAATAAAGTTCTTTTATATTGTCTAATTAAATAAAGCATTTTCTGTTTTTGTTGCATACCTTATTTTAGACCCAGTGAAATCATCACTAGGTCTTTGTGCTTCTCTATGTAATGCAGGCAGATCATAGTTGGTGGGAAGAGCTGGCAGGGTGCTGGACATAGCTTCCTGACAACAGGGAGCTGTGGTAATGCCCACATATTATGCTAAGACTCCATAATTGAAAGAGCTCAAATCCAATGAATGAAAAGTGTTGGGAGGAAAAGGCTAGATGATGCTGGATGTCCTCCAGCCAGGTAATGAGGCAGCCTTTATTTGAAATGCAGCAGCTTCTATTACACAACATGAGAGTCTCACAGTGTACACTGAAATCCGAGTAGGCAATTTCAGCCTTTCCAGATATTACCTTGTAAATGAAGCAATGACATCACTGTTCTGCCTGTGCAGAGAGTGAAGCCGTGGGAGGGGCTCAGCAGGCCCCACCCACTGACAACAGGGAGCTGTGGTAATGCCCACATATTATGCTAGGACTCCATAATTGAAAGAGCTCAAATCCAATGAATGAAAAGTGTTGGGAGGAAAAGGCTAGATGATGCTGGATGTCCTCCAGCCAGGTAATGAGGCAGCCTTTATTTGAAATGCAGCAGCTTCTATTACACAACATGAGAGTCTCACAGTGTACACTGAAATCCGAGTAGGCAATTTCAGCCTTTCCAGATATTACCTTGTAAATGAAGCAATGACATCACTGTTCTGCCTGTGCAGAGAGTGAAGCCGTGGGAGGGGCTCAGCAGGCCCCACCCACTATATGCTGCCTGCAGAAAACTACAGAAAGGGGGGTGGAGACAAGACCAGTTTCTCTGCACAAGAAGAGAGAGCAGCAGTGAGTTGTCTGTATTACAGGAAGCTTCTGTACAAAAGTGGAGTTTCATTTTGGTTACTGCACAGATCTGGAAGAAATGCATAAATCGTACTAAGGTTGAAGTAATAATACACACACCTCTTGTATTTAGAACATAATTTCTTATCCCAGAGTTCAGCCTTAACGATATTTTGAGACCAATGTACACACATTTGAACCACAAAGTCTCTCTCCAGCCATTTTTGTTTTCATTTTGGGTAGAGTAGGAAATGATACCCTGCTGATCCTATGACAGGGTATTATGGCCTGTATCCCCACTGATTAGCTTCCCCTCTTTTCCTTTCTGGGTGACATCTTGTGACACAGTTAGGGATTTCCCTTCAGCTTCTACTTTTTGTCCTGAAGAGACATCTCCATTGTTGTACACAGAAATCCAGTTGAAATTAAACAGACTTTATATTCCTTCCCTGTTCTATCCAAAACTGGGGAAAAAAAAGTTTAGGCAGGAGTTGGGCTTCACCACGATGCCCCATGTTGAGGATACCTTGATAAACGCCCTCCCTTTTTACAGCTGTCAATTGACACTTTGCAAGGATGCTGGCTCTCAAAGCCTGTATGTCTCTTCTGCAATTAAAAAAATAGCTGTTTGCAAATTTTTTTTGCTTAGGCAAAGTTCTACTTTGAGACAAAAGTATAAACCAAAAGGTAGGGATGCACCGATACCGATATTTCTTTTTCCGGTACTCGGCGATACCGAGTACTTGAAATCCCATTCAGGAAGCCAGGCGGCATGTAATGACTCCCCACCTGGCTTCCTGATTAGCCGGGCAGCGTGTAAAGACTCGCCGCCCAGCTTCCCAATTAGCAGGAAAGCCATCCCCATGCTTCTCGCCGCTAGGTGAGGAGAAAGCATGGAGCCGGATTTCTGGCCAATCAGGAAGCCGGGCGCTGTGTAATGACACGGCGCCCGGCTTCCTGATACTGTAAGTATCGGGCTAGGCATCGGAGCATTTGGACGAGTACACGCCCAAATACTACTAGTATCGGTATCGGTGCATCCCTACCAAAAGGAAAGTAAGTTGTTATGCAGCACCAAATCAGGAAATGAGTTAAACCAATGCTTTGAGAGTTCAGGCCCCAAATTCATCATTTTAAATTGTAGTGGTTCTGCAGTACTGTTCTACAATATAGACATACAATCTTCATCTGAAAGCTTCTACTGAAATGAACCAACTTTCTGTACTGTATGTTTGTATAAACTGAAGCAAGAAAATATTTTTTTTAAACATAGCAGACTGCTCCCAATATTGGCTTACTGGGGTTAGTGTGCTGGGAATGTTTTGATTTCCTTTTCTATACACTGGTTTCATATGTGAATAAGAAGTGGCACTTTGTCCTGAAAAGTCTTAAGTAATCTGCTGACCACATTATACAAGAAGAAAGCAAATTGCTTCGCTGCCAGAGATTGACAGGCATGCTTAATCTTACAGTGAAATGCTCCCAGCTGATCTGTCAGTTATCCACAACACTGACAATTCCTTTATTTTAAAGGTACACTTGTATTCATCTGGCTCTAGTGGCTGGGAGGCTCAAATTTACTTTGATTTATTGCTGAATTCCTATCTCTGCTTTCTAATTGGCCAAGGATCCAAGTCTGCAGAATATCAGGCCAAGTGCACTCTTGTTCCAGTTCTTGCCCTCCTGTAGGTGTTACAGAGGGAGGTTGCAATGCTCCTTTGTCAAGTGGTGACAGTCCTAGCTTGAAGGGCTCCTGAAATGGGCTGCAGTTTATTACAATATACTGACAGAAAGGTAAAATAATTATTGATGGGATTATCAAACTTGTAGTGTGATCTGTAGTAGTCATTTTCTGCCATTACCAGTTCACTGATATGTTGACACTGTTTTCTGGAGTTGCTCTTTCAAATTCCATGGCATTTTCCAATATGAATTTACAGTAGTGTGCCTCTTGAAGATTGTCTCCTAAAGTGTATTTCCACCTTTGCAGTCAATTATGAGAAATGTATTTTGTGTTCCCATTCACACAGCATAACAAAAAATTATGTTCTCACTTGCACTGTTTATGCCATGTATGAATGACCTGCTCCTTAATAAAAATTTATTGTTAAAAAAAAATTATGGCGGAACCAAGATGGACGCTTAACACCTCTCCTCCGACACCTGGGATCCCCTTTATAAGCATTTAAGTGGGCTTCTAGCAACCTCAGCCATGGGGAAAACAGGGAAGAGCACCCCAGCGACCAAAGCTCCAAGAGGGAACAGTTCTCAATCGGGTAGAAGCCTCCCGGAAATGTTCCGTTCGCGACCGTCAGAGGGCCGCATGGAGAAAATGGCGCCATCATCTCCTGAGACCTACTCTCCCAACAGCAGCCCAAGCAGGCAATCGATAGACGAATTGAACCACCCACATCCAGACCTGCTAGCCATGATGGGACAGATGCCGCGCATGTCAGACCTCAACTCCATTGCCCTAGACATCAAATCCACGCTGTCGGCAGAGATATCGGAGCTCAAATCAGACCTTCGGTCACTGACGGGCCGCATTCAATCAATGGAGGAAGTTACTTCACGCCATGCGGTGGCTCTAAGCCGTACTAGACAGGTCTCAGCTGAACACAACGCTCGTATAATGGAAATGCATCGCCACCTCGAAGACCTGGACAACTGGGGCCGACGCCACAACCTGAGGGTACGGGGTGTCCCGGAGACCATTGAAGCGGACCAACTGGAAACAACACTGTTACACATATTCAATGACCTGCTAGATAGGCCACCAGAAACACCGGTCATCTTGGAGCGCTTCCACCGGGCCTTGTGCCCTAAAGGCCAAGACAACGACCCTCCAAGAGACGTATGCTGCCTAACAGATTTTCGCCTAAAGGAAGACATCCTCCACAGGGCCAGGGAACGTCCTCACATTGTGTTTCAAGATGCGGAGATCAAGATGTTCCAGGATCTCTCGCACATCACACTACAAAATAGGAGGGCCCTCAGACCCTTACTGCAAGTCCTTCGAACCCGGGGTATCACTTACCGCTGGCGATTCCCATTCGGCCTTGCGGCCTTATCCTCAGGTCGCACTTTCATCCTCAGGGTCCTGGCGGATCTACACGGGTTTTGTGACCAAATCGGTATCCCTCCCATGGACCTCCCAGAATGGTATGCGGAATTTCGCTTCCGAGACAAACACCTTCAACCCTCGCCTCTGAACTCGCCAAGTCATCGGATGCAGCAAGACATGGACCGGAGAGAAGCGGCCTCCCCACACCAGTAGCTCACGCAAGAGCGGCATACCTCTCATCTCATCCCTGTAGCTGTTCGTCACGCAGCGCATATTCTCCTCCAGATACTAACCTGCCAGAAACCAAGATCGTCAGCGACTGCGATGACCAGGTACTATAAGCATTCTTGCCTTTTGCTCCGGGCCATCTTCTCCCCCCCTGCCCTCCCCATAAGCTCATGACCCTGCCTATGTGACTCGGGATCTACTCTCATCCATTTGCTCCAGATGTCCCCCCATTTTTCCGGCCGCCCTCAACACGCATGAACTTAGTAGCGCTAACATCGGAATGGACCTGGGAGGGGGTGGGAAGGATGCAGTCCGTTGGGCAAGGCTGGAGGGGCTGACAGAAACTCTGGATGCTTTATGCTCGGAGTCACAGCCCTGCCTGACCGGATAGTGTTATCGGGAGTAGAGCCCCTGACACCATCGCGCAAAGCTTATTCATAGGAGACCCAAAGCAGGGCAGAGCTATGTAACATATCTCAGGTTGGTGCTTTTGCAGTATACTATTCTAATACGTCTTTTGCAATGTCAAATTTCAAATGAAGATTATCCAAACTAGCTTAACGCAAAGCCCCCATTGTGGGAGGGACGGGGGAGGGGTCATGAAACGACGCGTGCCCTGATGCGACATCCTGTTCGCTAAGACGGTAGTTTCCCGCTCCAACACCGCAGCTCCAAATTACTTCCCTGGATCGGGCAGGGGAAGGGGGGATTGCTATCTGGAGGGCAGGGGGGAAGGCTTCCCCCGGGGATCCGTCATGTGCCTGGACCTCGATACTCTGACACGCCTGACTGAACTTTACCGGCCAGGATGGGTTCAGCCCTCTAAACCTAGTAATATCAATGAACGGCGGTACATTGCTGTTTCAGGTCGCCCTCCCTAGAATCACTCGTATAGCACCTCATATTCACCATGCTTCCCCTGGTGTCCCCCACCACTCCCTTTCCTCCACCCCATCGTTTTGCCTAATATTTTCCTGTTCAAACCTTACAATACACCTTGAACCCGGAGATGAAGATGCGCAGCATCGGGTCCGCTATAGATATTGACGCTCTAGGTAACCGGCTAATGTTATTTTCGTAATTGTTGTTAATTACACAATATGCATTTTATGGTTTGCAAAGACTTATGGAATTATGCCGTTAACCCCTGTATGTATGTACGTTGCTACAAAGTTGGTGCTCTGGCATAGTAGATACCTAAACCTCAACCTTGTTATAAGTAAGCTGTTCCCTTCTACGGTTATGAGGGTCGAACGCCATGTTTAAAGGTATCCATATCCTGTTATATTCCCAAACTCAGAGGCATCCCATACCATGATTCTTTTGATAGTACGCTCTACAGCTTCCCACATTACTGGCCCATACACTAACAACTCCTACAATGTAAATACAATTTAACTTTACATGACGTTATGCCCGCTATTCCTTAGGATATTTGCCCCATGCCATCTACAGCGAATCCCAGGTGTCCTAAGGTCCCTTCTGAGTTAACCGCATTAGTTTCACCCCCCACCAGACAGACCGCGCACAGTGAGTCGAGTCTACCGACCCGTCGAATTATCCCTATTCGGGATAAGGTAAGGTAAGTACCCTTATCTATCGGGCCTTCTTTGTCCCCCTCCTTCTCCCTGACACCTTCTCTTCCCTTCTGGGTCTATATCCCTCCCCTTTCCTACTGCCTCTTCCTGCTATCAACGCACTTCCTAACCTACTTCCCCTTCCTTTTCTCCTGGTCTCTCTTACTCCCACCCGTCCTTCTCTTACACTTAGTGTACACTGACTGAGGCTCCTTTCTCCTACTCTCTCTCGCCTCCCTCTCCCACACTGATTGCACTCCCTGAGCCTTCCCTTCAGATATACATTCCCCCAATCGCAGAACGACCTTATGGCTATATCTAGCTCTTCCCCTGATACCGGCCAAGCCACATGGAAAATTTTATCGATCAACTCCAGGGGCTGAATATACCAGAAAAGAGATCACAATTTTTGAGGGCTTTTACACATCATAAAGCTCAGGTGGTGCTCTTACAAGAAACTCACTTTAAGACGGGGGCCATACCCAAGCTAAGCAATCACAAATTCCCCACAGTGTTCCACTCTACCTCTGCCCAATCCAAATCCAAAGGGGTATCGATACTTTTTGCGGCACGAACCGACTTCCAACTTGCAGACCAACTGATTGACCCAGAAGGCAGATATCTTTTTCTCAAAGGTAAACTTCGCAACACTCCCATCACCATTGCCAACATTTACTGTCCCAATGCTGGGCAAGTACGCTTCTTTCAAAAGGTATGCTCCCTATTACGAGATTTCTCTGAGGGTATGCTTATTCTGGGGGGGGACTTCAATGTACCATTGAACCCGCTCCTGGATTCATCTACTGGCAAATCCTCAGTCCCGTTTCGGAGCTTGCGCGCGATTAAGAAACTCTTGACATCCCTCACCCTACATGATGCTTGGAGGTTTATCCATCCCACGGTAAAGGACTATACCTTTTTTCTCTCATCCACATTCACGGTATTCCAGAATAGACTTTCTCTTTCTCTCACAAAGAGACTTACCTACCCTCGATAGAACCAATGCATTCCTTTTTGTCCTGGCCCTGGAGCCCTTTCTCAGGAGAATTCGCTCAGACCCCAGCATACATGGATTCCCTACAGCATGCAAGGAATTCAAAGTAGCCGCTTTCGCGGACGACTTGTTATTTTTTCTGTTATTTTTCCGAGAATTTCGCTTCCTAGCTTGTTGAGAGCCTTCCAAGACTTTGCGGAAATTTCATTCTTCAAAATTAATCTATCCAAGTCTGCCGCTTTAAATGTTTCCCTTCCAGACGACCTGGTTAACTTCTGCAAATCCTAATTTCCATTTAGTTGGGCTGACTTATCCATTCCATATTTGGGGATTGAACTCCCTAAGGACCTGCAACTGCTTTACTCCCTCAATTTCACCACCCAGCTATCTAAACTTAGAACAGACAAGAAAGAATGGAACAAAATTCTATATTCCTGGTTCGGACGTTCAGCCATTCTTAAAATGACCGCCATGCCTAGACTCCTATACCTGTTCCAAACTATACCCATTTCCATTCCCAAAGCCTTCTTCTCCTTGGTGAACGCGCTGTTTCGCAACTACCCAGGACGAACCGAGTCATTACTGTACAGCATTGAAAGACCTCTCAAGCAAACACAGTAGTGACAGACTGATCTTCCTCTAAGCCCCAAGCAAAGTCACAATAATAAAAACTTACTTGTAAAAAAAAAAAAAAATTATAAAAAAAATTCTTACCTTTTTTTTTAGATGTTTTGTTGTTGCGGGAAAAATGGCTGAATCCAAGTTTTTCTGAGTGGCATGTATTTATAGAAAGGACCTGGAATGTGTTTTCTCTCATTAAAATACAATATAGAAGCCAGGCTTGTAATCCTTTAACCCTTTGTTAGGACAGTCAGCGTTCTAATCTACTTTATAAATTATAATGAAAACAGCCAGCACAGTACAGACAGGGTTAACACAAACCCCTCACAGCCCCTCCTAATAAAGTAGAAATGTTGGCAAGTAAAAAGCAAATAAAACTGCAAGAAGCATTTTTAAATATTTTTTTTAAGCTTATGTGATGTGAATGGGAGCATGTAACAAATATAAAGTAGGTGTTATCTCAATTTGGCTGCGGAAGTGGAAATACACTTTAAGCTCAACATATACATTACAATATGACTGCACAATCCTTTTACAGTCTCCTTTTATTTTTGCCGGAATTACATCATATAAAGACCCGGTCAGGTAGGCCCTTGCACTACATAGTTGCTCATTGATCTATGATGATAAAGTCAGATCGTAACACATGTGGTGACCATGAAATCCATTTCAGTCTTATTATGAAAACTATTCCAGAAAGTTTGAATGCTTTCATGTTGGCTAAGAACTTGTACAAAGCCCCAGCTAATTGTTTTCAAAATGTGAACAGTTACACTTGTATTTTCTCCCTAGTAAGATGACCTCACTGAAAGAGGACGTCCGGCGCAGCGCAATGCTGTGTATTCTTACCGTTCCTGCGGCAATGACCAGCCATGATCTGATGAAATTTGTGGCACCATTTAATGAAGTTATCGAACATATGAAAATCATTCGGGACTCCACCCCCAATCAGTACATGGTTCTTATAAAATTCAGTTCCCAGGTAATAATCTTGCCTTTGCTGCACCTTCTTATGAAAGATGACCAGTGCTGATGTGTTCCTGCAACAAGAATACTGTTCTGTTTGGTTGTATTTTCTTTTGCAAACAATCCAGTTCACAAGTGTTTAACTCACAAGTTACCAGGTCATTATTTTGGGTAATAGTCTGTTCTGCCATTCGCTCTGTCTTCCTTTTCCTACAATATTACCATTAAGTAACACTACCATTTCCTAGATAATAACTCTGGCATACTTTCTTCAGCTTTCCTAGCTACTGTGGAATTGTTTCAAGGGGAACGAGCACCTTAAGGCCTCATTCACACGAGAAAAAGCCAGCACCTACAGCTCCGTGCTGCGTGCACAGCGTATCAGGCAGCTCCTGGGAAGGACAGGTGCTGCGTGTTATTAGTACACAGCCCCTGTCCTTCTCTATGGGAGTACGCGGCCGTACACCGTCCTACGCTCACCCCAAGTGCAGGTCGGTGTGGGTGTCCCGGCTCGGACGCAGACAGGATTCATCCTGTCAGCGTGCAAGTACGGACACCCGCACGGATGTGTAGGAGCTGCCCGGTACGGCCGCGCACGGAGCTGTACATGCTGGCTTTTTCTCGTGTGAATGAGGCCTAAGAGTCTTAACCAAGAACACGGAGGTCTTCAAGTACTTACGTTGGTTAGAATACCTCTGTCAGGTTTATTTGCATGTTCTGATGTTACCGTCCCAAAGGGGATTTCCTTTCTTATGCTGTGTATGGGACATGAAATCTCCCCAGCTGAACAAAGATGGAAAAAAAAAATAGAGAGTGGATTGTGCCATCCACTATGTTGGTTCAGCCTGCATTTTGGGACAATTAAAAAAAATGCAGACCATGTTGTGGAGCCAATGGTTTTCCACAGGGTTCTTTTTACTTAATGCATCATAGAACTTTGTGATTCGTTAAAAGGCTAGTCACATGACTTTGATAGGTCACATGAATAGGCTCTCCTCCCAGGTTTTTTTTTTTTCCTGTCAGCTCTGCCATTCAGAAAAAAAGGGGCTTCCCTGGCCTCAGGACTTCTAAGCACATTGGTAAAGCACCATATATACACATTTATATACATGCCTGAATCTCAGCCAGAATTGACAGATTGCAAGAATCTCCCACTGTGTACATTGTATTCTGACCGTGTCACCGGATGCGATCAGCAAACCCAAACAGTGCTTGCTGATGATTGGCTGGCTTTTACTGTCTTTTACTGTCCTTTTCAGCTGTCCCTCCAGCGCTGGTGCGGGTCTCCGATCCAGTGACGACTCCTCTGTCCTCTTCGATCATGTCCCACGGTGTCTGTGCGGGTGCACGCTGCTCCATAGACTTACCTTGTGTCTCTCCTCATCTCCCGGCCGAACATCTGAAGTGCGCATGTACCCGCCCCAAGATCCTTTGCGGCTGCCCGAGACTCTTCAGATGTTCGGACGGGAGTGCGCGGCGAAGACACAGGTGTGTTTTAAACCTGTTTCAAAAAGGTGTGGGGTTTTTTTTTTTTTTTTTAAAGTGTTTTGCATATCTCTACTGCTAGCTAGCAAAAATGCAAAAAACCTGAGGGTTTAATAACCCTTGAAAGTGAGCCTTGCATTAAAAATTATAACATGAGCCGCTTCATTGCCTGATTGGTCAGTGGTACTGCTTCCTATAGTTATTGATCAAAAGCATAGCTTGCAAGGAGGAGAACACTAGTAACCTGGTTTTGGGGGAATTATTACTAACGGTTTATACATCAGAAAAAAAACATTTTGTGTTAGTTTTTCTGTTTTTATTTTTGGCCTAAATTGTCGATCTGTTAGTTGTATAGATGAAAAATACATTTGGAACAATATCATGAAAAGGCACAGCTGCAGTGCAAAGTGTACACTGGAATCTCCCAATTCACATGTATAGAGACCAACAAAGGCTGTTCACTCTCCATGTGACTGTGGCAGGCATGGAGAGAAAAAAAAAAAAACATGACAGAAGATTTATCTAGAGGAACATTGTGTATAAATTCTGTGCTGAGTGAGTTGGGTCACCTGCAGAGGTCCACATGCCATAGGTGCTTCAGGACCAAAGCTGTGTCGCCAATTCTAAAATCTGCCCGTGCTGGTCAGAGGACTACATGTTTCTTCGGTTGCCTCAATTACTTTTTTTCTTTTCTGTCTCCAGACAGAAGCAGATAGCTTTTACATAGCAAGCAACGGACGCCAGTTCAACTCGATAGAAGATGATGTTTGTCAGCTGGTCTATGTAGAAAGGGCAGAGGTTTTAAAGTCTGAAGATGTGAGTATATAATCTGCATGAGTTTAATGTTAGACTTGCGAAACCAAATCAAAATCACTGTTTTCGCAGAGCTATGGAGAATAGACTTAATTCATCATGCATGTGTTTTTACCATCATTGTTTGTAATTATTCTAAGTTTAATGAATTAGGATAATGAAAGTTTTGTGAAATTATAAATGTTTGTTTTTTATTCTGTAACTATATGAATTTTAATAGATGTGCGTTGTATGCTATGTATAAGCTATGGTTGTATGGTCCTACTTTTATAAAGTTGTGAAAGCACGTACTAAATGTGCTGAAGTGACCTCTCAAGCCATGGCATGATTTTGCTTAACAGAGCACTTTAGCATGCCTTAAGTGCTGCTGCAACTTGTTGATTCTGGCCCTTTCTCTAACTTATTTCCCCTTTTCTGAGCAGAGCTTTTGTGAACCTACATATTGAACCTTGCCATATTAACCTGCTAGTTATTTTGTGTTTTAACTTGAAAGCTGTTATTGGAAGTGCTTGATGATGAAATTACTTTGTCATGTTTTAAAGATTTTGGTAACGTGGGACACTATTACTAAGAGGATTAAAAAAAATATATGTATATAGATTGAATTTGTGTCTCTCACAGGCAGCATTTTACAAGGTCTTAAGGCTTAAAAGGTTTAAAATAAAGCTACAATTGCGGGTGAAAACTTCAGCATCTGACACTTTAAGTGTATCAGATGTCTGTGTCTGCCCAGTGTGCCCTGTGGTTTCCCCTTCAGCCACTACAGTACTAATGTGCCCCATCAGAGTAGCAGAGTGACACCCTAGGAACATAGCGGTCATTGAGGGGAAGGAGTTGCAGCAGAGAAAGGCAGGATACATTTAGCTATGAAACAGTTTATACTGAAAAGAGTTTTAAATAGGTAATTTATAAACTTTTTATTGTTTTATTGTTACTTTGCTGCTATGGAAACTATGAAGGGTTGGATAGGAAATCATAAAAGTTATTTGAGTTTTTAAGTAAATGTTAAAGTTCATTGAAATGTCATTTTCAGGGTGCCAGTCTGCCAGTGATGGATCTGACGGAACTCCCTAAGTGCACCGTATGCCTGGAGAGGATGGATGAGTCTGTAAATGGCATTTTGACAACTCTGTGCAATCACAGCTTCCACAGCCAATGTCTGCAGCGCTGGGATGACACCACGTGGGTGATTTTATTATTTAATCTGGCTGATTTATTCAAAAAACTGTAGTAGAGGAAATAAAACAGTTGCCCTTTTCATCCAGTCATGTGCCGCCTTTCTTTTAGCAAAATGAGGGCTGGAAGCTAATTGGTTAGTATGGACATTAGCCCATTAATCGGCTCTAAAATTTTCCCTGTAGTTAAGTTCCTTTTTTTTTTTTTGAAAGATGAGATGTATATTAGGAAAAAAAAGTTGTTCTTTAGTTGTAATACAGCTTTGTTCTTTTGCACTGTGTGTATCTACAGTTGTTGTTGTTGTTGTTGTTGTTTTTTTCGTTTTTTTTCCCATTGGGATTCTCTAAAGCTGGCCATACACTGCGAATTTCGTCTGGTTCTTGACAAACTGGCTGAAATTCGCACAGTGGGTTTTGGCCAACTTGCCTCAATCAGCTGAAGGAGACAGTTGGAAAATCTTCGAACAAACAGAGTCGGCAGCCAATACGTTGAAAACGGCGGAAGATTCCTCAGTCAACGCTCCTAAGCATTTATGGACAAATCTGTTATTTTCTTTGTTCAGCCCATAGGTTGAACGAAGAAAATATAACAGTGTATGGCTAGCTTAAGGAAGTGCATTTCAAATATCGATAGGTTGGAAGATTTTGTGCCTCCTGCTGCTTTTACAAGGGGATCACTTTTTTTTTGTTGGATTGTTGTTTTATTTCACACTGTGCAGAAATGAGTTTCTTTTGGGAGAAGGCTATTGTTGGATCTTATCGCTAGATTCTCCAAGAACTATATGAAACCCGTATCGTACTATCAATATCAACCCAAGAAAAGCTCTAATATTGTTCTGCTAATATGTGACGTCATATTGGGACCTTTTGTCATTTTCTTAGAGGAGTTGCAGCATAAATTGAGAGCTCTAAAAAAAAAAAAAAATATCATCTATAATACAAACACACATGCACTAGTTGAGGTATCTGATGAAACAGCATGTACAATAAGCCATATTTTTGACAGGCGATATACAGCTTTATTTGGCATGTTGCAGGTGTTGATATGGTAAATGAAGATGATTTCTGATAAGCCTTGTATGATCACAGAAGCATTGCAAACTTGTCTTAAGTGAAAATGGGAAAGTACCTGAAGGCAAGCTGCATTTGCCCATGAACTCTGGCCATTATCGAATAAGGGCAGGGACTCTCTTAACGCGTTCCCTTTCTCTGATGTGCCGTGCCTTCTGCAGGCGCTTAATCATAGAGACCTAGTGCAGAACTAGCTTGTGCAATTGATGGTTTGAGTGGTATAAGTGTCTCGCTTAACATATTGATGATTTTGTCTGCATTAGGCCCTTTCATATGGGTGGTCCATTAAGGTTCGCCTGTCAGTTTTTCAGGCGCCTCTGATCAGAAACTCAATGTAACTCTGGGGTAGCCAACTGTAAACGGACGTGGGTCCATTTAAATCTGATTACCACTCACTCTGTTCAGGTCTAGAAAAAAAAGAGTTCTGTTCTCGTGGCCCTGTAATCGACATATGTCTACTTACATCCAACTGCCCATAGACCTAACATGGCTTTGGTTAGTTCAGTGTTTTACTGACGGGCACCTGTTTGAAAGGGGCCTAAAGTAATTTGTGCAGCATGTAATGCCGTTGTAATGGCAGTGTCTGCTTAAGGTCAAACGGTGGCAACTAATCAGAGCGGGACTGTAAGTGACACCAAGCCTTGCTACATCATATACTCCTTACAGCAACTATAGACATTCAGAGCCTAGGGGATAATACACTATATTACCAAAAGTATTGGGACACCCCTCCAAATCATTGGATTAAAGTGTTCAGCGAAATTTCCTTGCTACTAAATATTCCACGGTCAACTGTTAGTGGTATTATAACAAAGTGGAAGCAACTGGGAAGAACAGCAACTCAGCCAAGAAGTGGTAGGCCACGTAAAATGACAGAGCGGGATCAGCGCATGCTGAAGCACACAGTGCGCAGAAGTCGCCAACTGTCTGCAGAGTCAGACCTCCAAACTTCGTGTGGCCTTCAGATTGCCATAACAACAGTGCGTAGAGGGCTTCATGGAATGGGTTTCCATGGCCGAGCAGCTGCATCCAAGCCTTACATCACCAAGTGCAATGCAAAGCGTTGGATGCAGTGGTGTAAAGCACGCCTCCACTGGACTCTAGAGAAGTGGAAATGTGTTCTCTGGAGTGACGAATCACTCTTCTCTGTCTGGCAATCCGATGGACGTGTCTGGGTTTGGCTGTTGCCAGGAGAACAGTACTTGCCTGACTGCATTGTGCCAAGTGTAAAGTTTAGCGGAGGGGGGGAGTATGGTGTGGGATTGTTGTTCAGGGGTTGGGCTTGGCCCCTTAGTTCCAGTGAAGGGAACTCTTAAGGCAAAAGAAGTCTGCCTGCTCCCAAAGTGTATGCAGGCCAAAAAGAGGTTACTACAGACCAATTATATAAAATATATAAGTTTATTAGGTATCAAAAATAGATTTAAAAAAACTATGTATAACACCACATCCCAAAAACTTCCACTTAATGGATTGATGGACTGTTTATACAAGCCGGTAGTTACAATGAAATGGACATATAGCACAAGGACACATTGTAGCTATTCATAGATAGGAAAACATTCCTTGTTGTAACACTTTCCAGAGAGCGCTTTTGGTCTGAAGAAACTCACATCAATTTACTAGGGAGATTGTCTCACTGTCATTAGTACTTCAAACATCAAAAGTGGTTGAAACAGGTCAAACAAATTCCGGACCGTTATCGGTCAGCATGTGCTGCCGTTGATTTGTAGGTGTTATATTTGCTTTAACAAAGCTTCAATTTTCTCTCCACGAGATCATAAAACAAAAATGCCCGTCCTTAGGCAGTGTCCCTTGTATAGTAATTCACAATCCATACAGGTTATCTCCGCTCGTAACGGTTGAGCGTCTTCTTTCTTCGGTATGACACACACACAGTCAATGAGGTACTAACCGGTTTTCCCTTCCAAGTGGCTCGTCTACGATATTTATACTTTACACCTTTAGGGCATGATGGTCATATGTATCATTGTTATGTCATTCCGGCAGGCTCCAAGGTGGACATATGCAATCCCGCAGGTTCACAGTGTTGACCCCTTTTGCCCCTCCTCCTGGGGTTTTGTCGTGTTCTTGGGCGTTTTTGTTTTATGATCTCGTAGAGAGAAAATTAAAGCTTTGTTAAAGCAAACATAACGCCTACAAATCAACGGCAGCACATGCTGACCGATAACGGTCCTGAATTTGTTTGACCTGTTTCAACCACTTTTGATCTTTTGAAGTACTAATGACAGTGAGACAATCTCCCTAGTAAATTGATGTGAGTTTCTTCAGACCAAAAGCGCTCTCTGGAAAGTGTTACAACAAGGAATTTTTTTAGCTACAATGTGTCCTTGTGCTATATGTCCATTTCATTGTAACTACCGGTTTGTATAAACAGTCCATCAATCACGGGCACGCAGCGGTCACTGCTGAGCAGACAAACTAACTGAATCACCGGGATCACTGTCTTGATGGTTGATTTGTCTAGAACAGGATTACCGGGTATACTTTTATTGATCTTTCTATCTATGAGGTTGATTATAAATTGTACTTTACCCGGTTCTAATGGTCACTTCCATGTAACTCCGTAGGCATGAATGGATGATTTGTGTGAATTGACAGCGGCTGTCACTTTTTAAGTGGACGTTTTTAGTGGACTTTTAAGTGGAAGGGATGTGGTGTTATAAATTGTTTTTTTAACTTGATGAACTTATATATTTTATATAATTGGTCTGTAGTAACCTCTTTTTGGCCTGCATACACTTTGGGAGTAGGCAGACTTCTTTTATCTATATGCTCCGGTTACAAACTTTAATTCATTACTCGGGTTTACTGCACGGGTTGTCCTCCGAGGAATTACTTTTTTACTGTTGAACTCTTAAGGCATCAGCATACCAAGACATTTTGGACAATTTCATGCTCCCAACTTTGTGGGAACAGTTTGGGGATGGCCCCTTCCTGTTCCAACATGACTGTGCACAAAGCAAGGTCCATAAAGACATGGACGAGCGAGTTTGGGGAGGAGGAACTTGATTGGCCTGCACAGAGTTCTGACCTCAACCCGATAGAACACCTTTGGGATGAATTAGAGCGGGGACTGCGAGCCCGGCCCGGCCTTCTCATCCAACATCAGTACCTGACCTCACAAATGCGCTTCTGGAAGAATGGTCAAACATTCCCATAAACACACCTAAAATCTGTGGACGGTCTTCCCAGAAGAGTTGGAGCTGTTATAGCTGCAAAGGGTGGGCCAATTCAATATTGACCTCCAACAGACTAAGACTGGGGCGCCAGTAAAGTTCATGTGCGTGTAAAGGCAGGCGTCCCAATACTTTTGCTAACATAGTGTATGTAGAGTTGGGGGGGGATGTTGCTTGAAATTGCCTTCCAGTATACCCCAAAAACTTCCTACGTTAAAATATCTGTACCCTCCTATTTTACATTTTTTTTTTTTTTAATGGCTTTCTTGGGATTTACAGATGCTTCTTGTTTAACAAAATGAAGCCAATTTTAAAAATGCTTAGGAGACGATAGGCAACAATGATTTCATCAACTATTTGCCTGCTACGAGAAAAGCCAAAGCAGCCTGAGGGTCTGTACATACTTTTCTAATACAACAGTGCACATTAATAATATATGCATTTAGCATCCATGAATTCAACTACAAATGTGTGTAATAAAGCAAACCGAATCAGTGTTTTTGCTGCATTTCACCAAGTCATGCTTTGTCCTAGCTTATAATAATTAATCTCACTTTGTTCCTTATGTGTTCCAGATGTGTATGTAAAAAATATCTTTTTATTACAGATGTCCGGTGTGTAGATACTGCCAAACCCCAGAACCAGTGGAGGAAAACAAATGCTTCGAGTGTGGTGTACAGGAAGTAAGTTGACATTTTGGGACTCTGCACTGGAAACATGTGGGTTTAATTTTATCCTGCATCTTTTGCATGGAACAAACTGAACAAGTTGTTCTGCCTCAGAACAGATTTTTTTCATTATGAATAAATGTGCTAATTTAACTCCTAATCCCCTGTATTTCATTAACCAGTAAGTATCTGCTCATACTACAGAGTTTTAGATAAACGGGCTCTTGGCAGATTTATTTTTTGTAAGGCCCCTTTCACACAAGTTTTTCAGGCAGACCTGATCAGAAGCTCAATATTAGTCTGCTGGGAGCTGAATCCGATTACCTCCAAATCAGTTTAGGTCTGGAAAAAAAATCCAACAGAGTTGTGCTTTGGCGGACATGAGTGAGACAGATCAGAGGTAATCGGACATGTGTCAACTTACATCTGACTCTCCATAGACCGAACATGGATCCGGTTAGTTCATTTTTTTTCCCCTCCCCATATTTACATGTCACAAGAGTTGCATCCTTTCCGTATTGCTCTGATGAGCAGGGAATCTGTGCAAGGATCCTCTGCTAATCAGAACAGACAATAACCGTGTAAAAGGGGCCTTACAAGAAAAAAAAAATTCTCTGCTTTTATTGAGTTGTATGTGTAGGCAATTATTTTTTTGTTAGGGTTGAGAAGAATAGTGAAGTTTTAGAACCCTTTTAAAGTTCTTATTGCTGTTTATCTCCACTCGGGAGATTTACCCTCTTTCTGTCCTGGAGGCCATTGCCACTAAGACAGAAAGTGCTGGGAAATACCAAATTTTACATTTGTCACCAGAACAAAGTCTTAATCTTGTAGTGCGCATACCTGGTCCAGTGACATCTGGCTAAGTAGGGAAATGTACCCACTTTGTGTAGATTTCATCTCACTTGCTGTTGCATCTCCGGGATGGAATGTGAAATCTCTCCAATGGGACTCCGTGAAAAAGAAAAGGGACGACAGGTTTACCCTCCCCCACTCTATCTAAAACTAAAAATAGTTTTAGTTGTACATACTTTTTAATGTCAACCTCTTCTGAGAGAAATATATTTGCGGTCATTTCTGACACAAAATGCAAGTTGACTAGATGTTGTGTTGACCCTCTGGCTCTACTAACCCATGTGAAATATGCAAAGCAGGAAAGTGAGTGAAACGTCCTTATACACATTCTTGTTATGGGTCAGGTACTTGAAGTATTGAAGATATGGATTAAGGATGACCAACCAGGTGATTAGCATTTGCAGAATGAAAAATGAGCAGTTGCAAGTCTCCTTGTTTCTTACATTGCTTCAACCAACAACCACTTAAAATAAATGTCAGAATTTTTACTATAATTTTTAAAATACTGTAAGTGTCCTTCTGAAAATGTTAGCTACTAGATGGTTTTACTGACTTTATGGCTTTAATACTTTGAAGCACTGATCAGGAAAGTCAGAGAAAACTCAGAAGTGCTAATGAAACTACTTGTTCCTGGTCAGTGAGTTGGAATACTGAAGCAAGGGGGTCAGCCTCCATGACAGGATAACAATTATGTTGATTCTTACTTCTTTATTGTATTAAATATACAGACTGTAGACTACTAGAGATAGGTATTTCACTGCAGTCACTCCTTGCTTAATAAGTGTTGTAATAAGATTACCACACCCAATATGTAGTGCTGCAAATCAGGAAGCAGAACCTATGCATGTAATAATAAAAACTATATGTAGGAGAAAAAGAAAGATTTAAGAAAAAACAAATTTTTACATACCAATTTCATCAGTTGGAGCCACTGTGATTGGTTCCTGATCAACAGTGGGGACCTGAGCTGACAGGGCAGCTGTGATTTGAGTCCTGATCATGTGATCACTATGCCAGCCATAACAACCATGATCACATGTAGGCTGGAGGCTTCATTGAGGAAAATTACACTGCCACCTTCAGACTCAGTAGTATCTGCATTGCCATACATTTTATACTGTAATTGTCCCACATTACACTATATATATATATATATATAATTATGGTGTGTGTGTATGAAAAAATTTTTTTTTCAATGTTTACATAGCAGAAAAAAACAGCAATGTTTTCATGAAAATTTTGGATACACAATAAAAACCCTTATATCCTTGAATATTTTAAAAATTATTTTATTTAGGTATGCAAATTAGTCCAAGAGTTACTGTCATGTTAGTGGCGTTGCTAAATATGACCTGGGCATCTAGGCATCAATGACATGAAAAGGTTAACGGAAACCCTTCATGAGAGAAATGTGGTACCACATGGACAGAGATGTCTTGGTGAGCAACACCCACCCTGCTATAGTCTGTGGATGTGTGGATTATTAGGCCTCACACACTAAAATCTAACATCATTTTTGACATATTTTTGTAAGTAATTTCCAATATTTTAAATCTGCAGCTTTAATTCAAATAAATTCAAAATCTAGCCATGAAAGTACTTGTTCAGACACTTCCTGTTTTGCAGCAACAACACTCTGTCCTTGTTTTCCAGTTGCTCTCCTCCATTGTCACCGTGTCACATGCGTTTGATGTGGAGACTAGAAGTGGCCGTTCTGGCTTTCATTACAGAGGCATGTTCCATCACTGTGACCATCAGGAAGCCCGCTCTAAGCAGTTACATGCAGCCACTGCTGGAGCATATTTATGTAGGAGATTGGTAAAGTTTAAAAGCAAAAAATAATAAGACAATGTAAAGCCTGCATTTTCTAGAGGAAAGAACAGGGCAATTGCTTGATGATACACAGTGCTTTAGAAAGCTAACAGGATTATTCACAAAAGGGTAAAGAGTTTGGAGAAGGCAGGAAACAATCTAGGACAACATAGCTGACCTGGAAACATTCTGCAATTCAGCTCACTTTCCAGTTCAGCTATGTTGTCCTAGATTGTTCACTTCTTCTGCCTTCTCCAAACTCTTCACCCTTTTGTGAATAACCCTGTAAATGTCATCCAATTAAAGTTTACATCTACTTTAAAAATATATATATCGTAGTAAAAAAAAAAAAAACAACCAGTGTCCACAACAGTTTTCCAGTAAGGCCCGGTTCACACCTGGGCGTTTTGTAGCGCATTCGAACGCTCTGCAAAACGCTCAAACACCGAAATCCCATTATTTCCTATGGTTCACACCTGGGCGTATTACAGGAGCTTCTTTGGGGCAATTTTGTCGCGTGTTTCCATTGGGATACAGCGAATCGCGGTACAAACGCGCGTATTCGATACGCCTAGGTGTGAACCCAGCCTAAGTTAGGAAGGCTTTTTGTTCAGTAACAAGTACCTCTCACTACCCTGTTTCCCCCAAAAATAAGACCTATCCCGAAAATAAGACCTAGTACTATTTTTGGGAATTGCTAAAATATAAGACCTAGTTGTGACCATTCCCAGGGCCAGTGGTGGCATAAGGGCGAATCTGAAGAGCCGCAGGAGAGAATCAGCGGTGCCAATGAAGCCAGAGCTAGAGGAAACGAGGCGACACCGGAGGGAGCAGAGCCGAATAAGCCGATGCCTCTATAGCGCAGGCTCATGTCACAGGGGAAGTGATACCAAATGCACTCCGCCTGTTAGGAATCGATAGTGAAAGCGTGCTTCGCTCATTCTGGCCAGCGATTGGTTACCAAATTGTTCTTAGAAAGGTACGGCACCCCTGATTGCCGTGATCACCATATTTGTGTACATGAATACATGTAGACTTTTCTACATAAATAAGCGTGGATTGTTGTACATAATAAAAAAAATAAGACCTACCCCGAAAATAAGACCTAGTGTGTTTTTTTTGAGCCAAAAAAAATATAAGACAGTGTTTTATTTTCAGGGAAACACGGTATTTCCCTAAATAAAGCTGTGTATGTAATTATCATGCACATGGGACCATTCTAAATGAGGTCCACAATTGACACAAGGTTGGCTTTGTAGTGACCCTTGGGTAATGCTGAATGTTTGATAGGTTGTTGTATCTGACTAAAGATCTGATGATGCACGACTTGCAGAGGTTCGAGAGTTCAAATAGGAAGATGGATGTCTTCAAATAATTTTACAACTCTTGTTTTGTCATTAAATACTGAAACAAATTAGTGTAAACAACTTAAAAAGGAGTACAATAGTACTACATTATTCCAGCTGTACATTGTTAAAAACTTTTCTTTATTGTGAGGACATGAATGGCAGAGTCAAGGATTCTATTCTCCTATTTCAGAATTGTTTTCTCTTTGTCTCTTGCAGAACCTCTGGATCTGTTTAATATGTGGTCACATTGGCTGTGGTAGATATGTTAGCAGGCATGCCTATAAACATTTTGAAGAAACGCAGCATACTTACGCAATGCAGCTCACCAATCACAGAGTCTGGGATTATGCTGGGGGTAAGCACACCTATTTCTGCTTTCAGCTTTTTTAAGGTTTATATTATATATCCATTTGTAACATCAGATGTTTGACAGGTATCCTCCAATGACCTTTCAGTTTGTATCCACAAAAAATGTCCTTACCCTGTAAATTTGTATTAAGAGCCCCTTTCAAATTAAGTGTTATTCCTGCTGGACTGTTTGTTATATTACTCATGATCTGCAAAAATGAAACCTGTTATTTTGCATTCAAGTAGCAGGAGATACTGCTTTGATTAGAAGGCACCCCGTGGGGGATTCAGTACATATGATTGGTTTGAGAGATCATGCTATAGACCAGTGGTGTCCAGCTGGCGGCCCAAAGGCCACATGTGGCCTCTCAGCACTTAAGGTGCGGTCCACTGCGGGCTACATGATGAATGACAGAGTGACAGCAGCGGGCTTTAGTACTGTAATCGCCGGCTGTCAATGACCGCCGTGGTCCAGCATTATGCCCAGGAGCTCAATCAATACGCTCCTGGGCTTCTGCTTCTCTATACGAGGCAGCAGGCAATATGAATATAATGCAAAACAATGTTTCCACATTGAGTTTACAATAGAAGTAAATTGACATCAGGCCACTTTCTGTTAAAAAGAGGCTCAAGCAGAGCTGAAGCAGCTCTGTTCAGACTCTCCCTGCAGCAGTAAATAACCATTTGAAGTGATCTTTTGCTGCATGGTGGCTGGATCAGGGCTCCACGGACCAGAACCAGAAGAAATACATTGCAAAAAAGGGATTTTAACAAAGATGCTAAACTTTACACTAACGTGGTATGTTTTGCACCTGATTGTGCAAGGTGCACTGAGGGCTTGTTCACACCACGTGAACAATTGTTTTCTGTGTGTCCTGTTCACACCATACATGTGTGGTGGTGTGCAGAAAAATGCAGCACAAGATATGGTGTGAGGAAGTCTTAACTCCAATAGTTTGCCATTTTGTTTCTCAACAATTCACTGTTCAATGGCAAGACCTGTGTAGAAATCTATCCAATCGGGGCACAGACAGCAATAAAAACCTTACTCTGACCTGTTCTTCCAAAATTAAATTAAATGTTTTGCCTGGAGTTGGGCTTTGACAATTTCTCATTCCATTTTGTGCACTGCACATAACATAAATCATCGGTTCCCGCTGTGTATTCTATTAATGTCTTCATTAATTAGAAGTACTAATGACAACATTTTCATGTTTTGTGTTTGCGTGGTTTTTTTTTTTTTTGTTTTTTTTTTTAAATAAAAAGAATTGTTTATTACTTATAGTTTGTATGTGCCTCTTCTCTAGATAACTACGTTCATCGCCTGGTTGCTAGCAAGACAGATGGAAAAATAGTTCAATATGAATGTGAAGGAGACACGTGTCAGGATGAGAAGATAGATTCTCTGCAGTTAGAGGCGAGTAATTGGACTGCTTTAAGTGGACCTATTTTAAAGCTGTGTTAACAGTCACAGTAAGTATGTGGACAATTCTATGTCTAAGCTTGACACTCAGACTGACCAACCTAGCAGCCCTGAACCAATTGTATAGATATACAGATATATAAACTGCAGTTTATACCTGTAAAACGTTTGTCTGCCCTCACACAACACCATTAATGGTATTGAGGACATTTTACTTGTCTGGCAGACATCCAAATATCGAGGAAAAGTTCCACAGCACTTGAGGGTAGAATGCATTTTGTACAGGACATTCCAAACCCTGTGCAACAAGATATCAGGGTAACATCCCCGAAAATCACCTGGCATGTCTATGGAATTGAGGACATAGAGGGTAGACTACACATGAACAATGTTCCCATCATAGGATTTCCTAAACCTACAGAAGGTCACCTGTGTAATTTATTTAGGTTTGGCTTTGAGAAACCTTTGGAGCTGACACCTTTTACACCTTTTTGTTTTCAGTAGAAAGGGCTCACAGGGTGTCCTCCAGACCACCCCACTGGATGCTGGTACAAGCCATTTCTTCTGAAAATGCTGTGTTAAGGACCAGTAGGTCATACTGCAAAAAGCTAGACAACACAAAGATCTGAAAATGGCAGACTTTAAGTTATCCCTATTCCCAGACTTTGCAAATACAACGCTGTATTCAGCAAACTTAAGAATAATAGCTAAAGGAAGTATGCCTTTCTTTCATACTCCATCTGCTGCCACAGTCAAGGTTGACAAAAATGAGCGCCACCTTGGAGAAGAAATAGCCACCTAACCATACCCAACTGCCCGTAAAGCATATCTAAACCCAAAAGCAAAAATTTAATATTGCCTATTCTTAAATTTGGTGGCTGCACTTGTTTTTCTTTTTTTTTTCTTCCTTATTTTCACCTGGTGGTCCAACCATTTAAAGGAGAATTATGTGGTGAGTGATTTCCACTCATCCTCATAGAGCCGACCTGTGACAAAGAAGCTGTCACAGGTCGGCTTTATCGATTGGGAAGGGAGCAGAAACATGCAGCCGATACGCTCACTTCCCGATCGTCACCCTGCAGTGAGCGATGACTGTCTCTGACTCCCTGCAGGGATTCCCCCCTCCCCTCTCCAATCCTCCAGCGCTGACTGGAGGAACAGACAGGGAAGGGGACGGGCACATCTGGCTCTGCTTATAGATAGGCAGAGCCAGCTGTCACTCACACAGCTGGGTGGATCTCAACAGTTTTGTCGGAATCCGTCCTGGCTGTGGCGCTCTCCGTATATCCCAGGCAATAGCCCGCGATATACTGAGCTTTGAGTCACGAGTGGAGGTTAGTGTATGTCCTCCCATGACCCTAAAGAGAACTATAGGGAAAACACTTGCCCCATAGTTCTCTTTTAAGTCTATTATTTTTCAATTTTCTTTAGCAGATGGAGCAGTCCAGCAAAAGTGTCAGATAGAAAATCTTAAAAGAGAAAAAAAAAACATGTTGCTGTAACTGCTTAAACATTGTTAGCTGGAATTCAGCTTTGTTAGTGAAGTCCATCTAAATTTGCTAGTGCAACTAACACTACCCTATTCATTAGCTGACAATGCTGCTGACAGGAAGTGTTACTGGCAGGGTCACCAGGTGAATATAAAGAAAAAATATTTTTATTTAAGCTTTAAAGAACCGATTCAGTTTCTGTCTAGCAAGCCAGATATATCATAATGGGCTGCAGGGTATTGTACCATAATTGGCTGTAGGGGATACTTAAACTCTCGGCACCCACGTGGGCCCCAGCACACAAGCAGGGACCTCTTTTGCTCAATATATATGTGAAATAGAGCTCTTTGGTGTGTAGAGGTAGCCGGACCAAGCAGCAATATTCCTGCTTTTTGCATGCATGTCTGGCATTGTCCAAAATTGATCCTGCTTTGGGCAACGTAACTTGTTACCACATGTTTGTGACTCATACTATGCCACCAAAAGACTGTCAGATCACTCTCTCTTGATAGTTTAACTAAAGCTGGGCACACACTGGTCAATTTTCAAATTAACTTTCATACTTTTAGATTGTAAGCCCTCACTGGCAGGGCCCTCCTTACCATCTTGTCTTAAATTGTATTGTGACTGTAATGTCTTCCTTATATTGTAAAGCGCTGTGCAAACTATTGGCGCTATATAAATCCTGTATAATAATAATATGAAGAATCTTGTCAGAACATTTGTGAATGCTATCAAAGACTTGTAGAATGTTGTTCAGTTAGTTTTAATTTGATTAACATTTGGTTTTGGAATGAATGGAGTTTCTCGAACATAAACCACATTTGTTTAGACTTTTTCCTCACTATGTTTGTATTTGATTGCCGATTTTTAAACCCATTAGCTATTACAGAACCAAATGAATGTTTGGTTATGTTCTTAAGAGGCATATTTATTGAACAAATGGGTGGGATTAAAAGAAGGGCCTGGGAAGCCAACATCATTCTAGACATTAAGCAAGTCGAAATTGCTTTCTTGCCTAGCTCAAACCCTGACACACAATCCAGATGGTTAGAACACCAACAATTATAAAGATCTATTTCTTTATCTAAAGTAAAGTTTCTTTACTCGACAAGCATTTTTTTTTTTTATTGTTATTATTGTTTGTTAAAAATTTAACAAGGTAAAACATAAAGTCAACCAAACAGATGAAAGAAAAGAAACCCTTATAGGGTACTTCAGTAAAGATACCGGTACAGGGAACAAAGACAAGCTAGAGTAAATATAAAGCATCAAGTTAGGCATAATAACTGAATCATAGAAACTTCAGAGTCAAAAAAACAAATGTCAAATTAGGGCATCCTATCAGATTAAACATAGAGAAAAGAATAAAAGGAAGAAGAGAGAAAAGTGGAAAAAAAAGGAGGGGGGTGGAGAAAGAGAAGAGGAGATGAAGTAGAAGAGGGAGAAGACCCGTCCAAGAGAAGCAAGAAGCGTTCAGTAAACAAGGATATGGTAATCAATCATTGGCAACAAATTCTGGGTCTTGCCACATAATATCCAAATATACAGGGGAGGTTGTAAAGATGACCCAACAGGCCCATATTTTGAGGAGGAGAGTTGTAGTTTATTCTAAAGCTTAGGCTCAATTCTTCCATAAGACAGATATGGTCAATCCTCCGAAACAAAAGCTACAATGGATGATGCAGGGGCGTACGCCAGTATAGTGGAACAAACACCTTTGCTGAATGGAGTAAGGCAAGCATATTTTGAAGAGAGGGAGCATACCGCATATTTGTTACCCACCATAGCTAAATTTCAACAACCCATCACTCAGTCCTATATCAGCTGTAGGAGACAGTATAGGGACTTTTTTTTTTTAATCAGATGTTTGTTTGTTTTTTAAACAATAAAAAACCAAGTACAAAGAGAAAAATAAACAAAAAAAGAGAAAACAAAAGTAAAAAAGGGAGGTGCACATTTGAAGAACAATAGCCACATGTAAAACAGTACAGAAGTATTACGTATACTTTATACCTCTCGCAGCTCACATCTGCTGGTGTAGCTCTAGCAGCACATACATACAAATTAGACCCCAGAAGATGTTACATGTATAGGCTGTTCACTCAGCCGCCGCCTGTCCACGGTAGGACAGCCGGCTAGACCACATAGAAGCGAATTTATTCATATTGCCTCTCTGCTGAAAAGTAACACGTTCATAGTCAACCATCCTATCCAATTCACTAAGCCATAGCTCCAGTGTTGGGGGAGAGGTGGAGACCCACCTACGCACCACCAGCGTTGACGCAGTGATTAGTGTTTGTTTAATGGCCACAGTCGTATGGGAGGTTAAATCCGGTACATCAATAATGCCCAGGATGCACACATGTGGAGAATTAGTTAGTGAGGATTCAAAAACAGAGTTAATGACGTCCAAGACCTCGCCCCAGTACATAACTAGCTTCGGCATCTCCACAGTAGATGAATTAAAGAACCTTGATGAGAGTTGCATTTTGGGCAATTAAGGTCAGCCCTGTACCCAATACGAAACAGAAATTCAGGTGTGCGATATATTCTGTGAATAATGAACAATTGCGTCAACCTATGAGTGGGTGACAGCGATACTTGTTCAACCCCTCGTAGTGCATCCTCCCAATCGTCATCTGACAGAGCGCCTAAATCTGTCCCCCAGCCCTCCCGGCACTTCAATGGCAGAAGAACCTCGGATTTGAGGAGGAGGTGATTATACAGGGAGGAGATGACTCCCTTAGTCTGCTCAGCTGAAAGCACAGCATCCAGAGTTGGGGTGGGGAAAAATTTAGGGGGGCCAAGACTAAACTGTGACCTTAGAGCGTGTTGGAACTGGAAGTGGCATCTACGGGAGAGCCCAAATGTGGAGGACAAATATTCAAAGGTGCACAATTCGCCATCAGGGTACAACTGAGAGACGGACAGTACCCCGACACTCGTCCAATCAACCGTACCCCGCAGGGGAAGAAGCTTCAGGAGATTGCAATTCTGCCACAGAGGGGTATAGCTAGTTAGATGGGTAGCCCCCAGTGCTAGACAGTATAGGGACTTTCTCTGATATTTTAGCCTCCTTCAAAGAAGAAGCCCCCAACAATAAGGCTTCAGGAGCCGATGAGCTAACAGCAGAGGTTTATAAAAGATATTGTTTGGTTCCTCATCCAGAGCTTCTTACATAAGATATTAGGGCCAGAGTTCTACCAAATTATTTTCCAGAATTAACAAACCCCTACAGATAGATCAGACATGTTTTTTATACCATCTAGATCCATTGCCACAGTTATTAGAGGGCTCAACTCACTCACACTTGTAGCAGAGCAATATTATCATTAGATGGCACAAATGCATTTTGCAGCGTAGAGTGGAACTTATTGTGACAGATAATTACTAAATTTGTTTTGTCAGGCAATTCGTCCAATAAACACAAAAGTTATAGCCCAAATGTACTGCCCGTATTCGAATTAATATGCTGTGAAAGTTTTTCACTTGAAACATAAA